CAATACCACCTAAAAACCAAACAAAAGAAACCCACAGAACTGGGTAAACTATGATACACTGTGATTATAACTGGATTATATAATTATATATATATATGAATATTATGTATGGATGTGTGTGTTCTGTCCTCTTCCCCATAGCTTATCCTTGGGAAAAAATACCTTGGCTTGGGAAAGCATCTATCCCACTGATAGACTACGTTTAAACTTCATTTTAGAATTCCATTCTCTGAGGTTTACAGGCATTCCCATTTAGAACAGTCTTAGAGAAACAGAAATGCAAAAAAAAAGAGAGTTTACTAAACACTAATACTTTGCAAGCAGGTCAACCCACTACATGATTATTGAGCACCTTAGAAAATGGAAATTGGGGCATCTGCCCCAGAATAAAATGGGAAAGGTTGATGGGAAAAAGTGAGAAAAACCTTGACATCAAGGCTGCAGTAGAGCCCTGAGGAAGCAGCCTGGCAATGTCTGAAAAACTGGGCAGGGTGGAGGTGGGATGGATGTTTAAAGCAGAAAGAAATGGGTCAGCTTCACAATTTCAATCCATTTATACCTAAACCCTGGACTCAGTGTCAGTTTTAAGGAGGTACATGTTAGAGGTTCATCTCCTAAGTAAGACCAAGTTTCCCTCACAGACCTCCAAACGCACAACTGAAAAGCCCTAAACAGGGTTGGGTGTGCAGCTCAGAGGTACATGCAGTGCCTCAGCATGTGTGAGACTGAGTCTCACCAAATAAAAAAATTTTAAAAAGAGTCCTTTTAAAATAAATCAACTCTACTACTGTCTACTCAGCTTATATTTACCTCCTCTATCTGCTGCCTCTCTTGTTCTTCCTTAGAATTAAAAACAGTTAATTCCAAAACTCTTGCTCTTCTTATTTGGCAGAAATTTAAAGTTGTTTGGGTCCCTCTCATTTAAAATCAGCTGCAGTGTGTCACTACAAACTCAGACTTTATGGCTAAGCTCTTCCTTTGTGTTTGTTTGTTTGGTGGTGGTGTGGTGGTGGTGGTGGGGTGATTTTTAAATGGTGGTGCTGGGCAAGGGCTCTTCCACTGAGCTACATCCCCAGCCCCCACTTGGGTGTTTCTTTACCGGCTTCCTTTATTCAATCCTGCATCTCCTCTTAACATTGAAATGAAGGTTATGGCTATTTCAGTGCCTAGAATGCTGCCAGGCACACAGTTGTTTAAAAAAAAAGTCAAAAGAATCTTAAAGATAGCAGATGGGAACATTCAGTTTGCAAAACTCTGAAAAAAATCTCATAAGCACTTTCCCAGCACTTAAGCAAATTCATTGATTTCTTCTTTAGTCTAAAACTACAATTCCAAACACAGGTCTCATATTCATGAAGAGCCTGAATGGAAAATTCTAAAAATCATCACAAAGTATATAAAGCAGCTCTAAGGTTTATGGAATTTGCAATGTTTTGTCTTTCATTCATCATACTCTTCCCTAAGGATACAAGAAACAAAATCAGTTAGTGTTGTACTTCAGAACTGAGTAGTTACATACTAACTCAGTATCAGAGTCATTAAAATTGTATCCAGTTTAAGAAGCTGTCTGCTTACCTTGGGAAAAGGGCCAACTGCCATTTCTCCCAATTAGCGGACTGTGGAAACAAGAGAAACTTTCTACACATCACTTCCATAACTCCATCTTATGCGAGGGAACTTCTAATTTTGTTAGTTCATTAGGCATTTTAAGAGTATTTTAAGCTGATAGTATAACAAGAGCTGTGGAAAGGTGTACAAATGGGGAAAGGGCACAATCCTAGGCCCCAAAAGAGGTTACAATGCAAATGGAAAGAACCCGGCTCGGAACTCAGAACAAAAGCAGTGGCTGCATAATAATGTACGGTTGGGGTGGGGGATGGGAATCTGGAAACCCCGTTACTAGGAAAGCAGCTTCCAGGAGGTGAGAGGTTAGGCCAGCCCTGAAAGAGGTTGACTCAAGGACTGCAGGAGTGAAACCTAGAAGATTCTCTACTTAGGAGATAAACATCTGCCCTGATTTAAAGGTGGGAAGTGCCTAAAGTGTGGGAGACCATTAAGGGACTGACCTGTTAGCAGCCCAAACGCCAGTTTGGGAAAAGACTGACTGTGAGGATATAATAGGTAAGTGTGGGGACATCGGTTGATGATGGTGGGAAAGGAAGGAGGCATTTTTTAAAAATACTATAATTATACACTTAGATTTGATGAGATGGGCCAGGAATAAATAGGAAAATTTAAAAAGAATGATTCTGACAGCAATGTACAAATGAGATTGCAGTCTTGGGGCCTGTGAAACAAGCTAGAGCATGCCATAATCTAGGCCTTTTTTCACTTATTTACATCGCTTTAGTCCTTAAAGACCCCAGCCTAAATATTTTCCTTGAAGCTATTTATAATCTCAGGAACTTCTCCTTTCACTGAACTTGTCTGCTAGTCAATTTCACGACATGCAACTTATTTTCTGAATGGAATTCTGGACCACTGATATCCTTCATTGGACTTAACTCTTTAAAACAGTTTTTGTTTGATTGTTTTGCAACGCTAGGGATCAAATCCAGGGCTGCATGCATGCTAGCCAAATGTTCTAATTGAGCTGCATCGCCAATCCTTTAAGATAGATTTTTTTTTAAAAAATTATGATCATTGTAGGAAATGTAGAAATTTCTAACAAAAATCACTTGTAATCTTTAAAGAGTGTGTTAAAGTTTTGTATTCCTTCCAGGTGTTGTTCAATGTGAATATAATATCTATGTACTTTAAAATTCAGAATATGCATCTTTGCTTTTACACAGTTATTTTACTTATTTTTTTGCCACACTGGGTATTGAACCAGCACCTTGCACATTCTCAGCACATGCTCTGCCACTGAGCCTCATTACGTAGTAATAGTAAGGTAATTTGTGTAAAAGAACCTCTTGGAAGAATGAAAATAGCAGTTGGTCTGGCTTACACACTGAAAATAAGCTTTTTTGATAACTTTATAATCTGTCATATGAATATAACAGATTCACTTAACCATTCCTACAATGCTGAATGCATAGTTAGGTAGCTTCTGACTTTCACTATTCTAAATAACACTGAAATGAACAACCTAAGTTGCCTGAGTCTCAGGTAAAAGCTCTGAAGTTTTACAAGTAGAACTGACTTTTTTTTTTTTTATGGTGCTAGTGATCCATCCCAGGGCTTTGTATATGCTAGGCAAGCGCTCTACCCCACAGTGACATCCCCAGCTCTGCAACTAAAAACTCTTGAAGCACTCTGCCAAACTTTCCAGAATGAATGCATGGCATTAAAAAAGAGAGAGTATGTTTGACCTTGGCCATGTTTCACACTCAAGGAATCACCCAGAAAAACACTGTATGATGAAATATTTCCTCTTGAGAGATGCCTTTGAGGCTAGGGATGTAGCTTAGTGGCAGAAAACTTACACAAGGCCCTGGGTTTGGTCCCTAGCACTGGGGAAAAAAAGCCTTAATGTAATTCTTTCAGTGTATTTTATATACCCACGAGTGGCCAGATTACCAGACAGCAGATCATGTGTTTTGAGTAGGAAGAATACACTGGAGACAAGTGAATGGAATTATTGTGTACTAAAACATACAGAAAGATGAACGGAGGATTAAATTACACAGATTCATGCCTTATCTCTTCTTTTTCTTGGCAGCACTGGGGTTTGAACTCAGGACCTCATTGCTTGCTAGGCAGGTGGTCTACCACTTGAACCACTCCACCAGCTTTTTTGAGGTGGGTTTTTTTTTAGATAGGGTCTTGCAAACTACTTGCCCAGGACCGGCTTCTAACCATGATCTTCCTGATGTCTGCCTCAGGTAGCTAGGATTACAGGCATGAGCCACCAGCACCTAACACATTCCTTTAATGTTTATTTGCATAACTACATTTTATGCCATTGTAATTTTCATTTAAGAGATTTAGTATTTTTTTTTCAAATATGAATTAGACTATGGCTATTTTGTTATCTACATAACAGTTCCCAAGAGGTTACTATGCTATACCTTATTAGCCAGTTCCCTTGGTTAGACATTTTATCCCTTCAAATTTTGTTGTGTTCATTTTTTTCCCATCTCATGCCACTGAAAGATAATCCCTAGTGTGTCACTGTTGATTTAAAGAAATGAACAGTTTGGTATACACACGGCAAGATTTCACACTTCACTGACGCGTTAATTTTTGCACGTTTGTTTTACTGTTTTTTAAACTCTTCTTGGGCTTAATTTTCTGTTGTTACCCCCACAGAGTGGCTGAGATAGAACTGTCTCAGAGCTGGACAAAAAAGTCAGCGCTCCAAAAATATTAATGGTTTTTATGTACCTGTAGGCTCGACTTTTTTCTGCAGATTTCCCCCCTCATCTATTCCCTTTGCTTCTTTTCGGTGTGGACTTCATATCTTAAACTGCAAAAATTAGGGGATTTTGGACAGAGGTTCTTTTTCGTGTTCCTTCACTCTTATTTCTCTATAAAGTTCATTCTCGCCCTACTTAATGGCCCAACTACTACTGTGCGAGGGAGCCCAAGTCGCAGCAGTCCCTGCCCTGCACCTGACACCCAGGTGCCATTTCCATCCATGCCAGCAAACTTGGGCAGATTTTGAACACTACGAAATTAGAGTGCGTCACTGTCGAATAAATCCAAGCTGAGGGAGTCGCAGAAACTGTGGGAACTAGTAACGACTCTTCTAGCATATTTTGCATCTCACAAACACATAGGAAATCCTGGATTTACCTTCCCTGGCCCCGACGGCAGCGACAGGTAAAGAGCCCGCCGAGGAAGGAAGCCTTTGTTGTCACGCAGAGCCACGTGCGGCGCTTGGGACCGCGGCTGGCCCTGAACGCGGACGCCCAGCCCGCGATCCCGCTCCCCCCAAGTGGCCCGCGCTGCAGCTCCCAGGCGCGAGGGGCGTGGTCGGGGCATGGCTAAGGGCGTGGCTAGGTGTACGTCACCAATGACGCAGCGCTGTAGCGGACCGCCGCCGCAGCCAAACTGGGGGTTGGGGGGCTGGAGTGAGGGCCAAAATGGCCGCTCCGGCTCGGGGCGGTGAGTGCGTGAGGGGCGCGCGGCTACGGCGGTTGGCGGAGCGAGGCTCCCTGTGGGAGCGGACGTGCGACGGGAGCCCCCGGGCCGGGAGGCACCTGGCGGAGTTTTCCCGCCGCGCAGGGCGCTGGGGGCTCCTAAGGGAGGGAGTGGGGGCTGCGGACGGACCAAGGGGAGCGAGCCGAGCCGAGCCGAGGGGCGCGCGGAGGCGGCGGCGGCGGGTCCGGCGAATTTAGAATTGGCGCCTCTGGGAAGTTTCGGTGGGTCATGCGATGCTCTGGCTGGTGGCCACTTCCCGAGTGCCCGGAGATGCTGCGAGGAGCCGTGTCACCCCCCCATGGCTAGGGGCGCAGGGCTGGAGGGGGGAGATTCTGGGGGGCGTGGAAGACGCTCAGGGGAGTTGGCCGGGTGCGGGCTGGGGCGCTCGGTTGCGATGGGAAACCGCATCCTCCCGCCCGCCGCCCTGGGGGCCGCCACGACGCTCCACGTCCCTGCGGTGCTTTGGAAGGGAGGCTCCGGTCTCGCTTTGGGAGGACGGACGGTGCTTCTCCGTCCCTCCGTCGGGTCCCAGCGCTGCCAGCACCTGCTGCCACTTAAAAGACACTCAGTTTTTGAATACCAGCATCCTAAGCCCATTCTAGCTGGCCCTGAAGGGGAAGGAATACTGATGGGATGAACTCGTTTAGGGGGCGTAAATGGAAAGCATGTCATTGTGAAGACGGGGAAAAAACGACTGCTCAAGCTTAGAAGGTAGCTCCCCACCCCACCCCACCCCATGAAAAGGAAAGTGAAAAATGGTAATTGTTTCAACCGCAAGTTTGAACTGATGTAACTTCTACTGCTAACTGGATCATTTCTTGCCGTTTTAATGCTGGAAGTAAAACAGTTTGGTAAGGGGAGATTCACTTTTCCTCAAACCTCTTCCCTGTTTTGAACCTTAATTATCGTATGTTTCAAGTAATTGCGGCTTGTGAAATTAGCATGGAAATACGACCTTCAGGCCCTACCCTCGAATTCTTTATTATCTGTTAAGTAGCTAGCTGCCTGTGGGGCTACAGTAGGGATTCTAACACTTTGGGCCGGGAGCCGGGAATTCCGTTTTGAATTCTCTTCACAGCATTTGGTGTAAACGAGGAAAAAGCGTTGGTTGTTCCCCGTGATCTTATTTCGCATCCAAGAAGGTTTTAAGCACGTTTGTAGAATATGTCCTCATCTCGATATTAAATATTTATTTGTTCGATAAGAGATGAATTTTTTTATTTGTAGGACCCCACTTGTTTTGTCCTTAATTTAGCATCTCAGAAAATTTGAAAGCGATTTTAAACACTTTAGCACATTCAGACTTTCTCTTCCCACTCTGGTTATGAAATGGATGTTAGATTTTCAATCCAGTTTATTATTGTAGACTATTCAAATTGAAATTGAGAGAGTCTAATATTGAGCAAATCAGCAAATCGTTATCAATGTGTACAGGTTAGAAAGTTTAAATGTTGGAGGCTCTTAAGATTGTGCATTTGCCTGCTTTTTTTTAGCCTAAACAATTTAAGAGATAAGTGAATCAACATTTAGCATAATACAATGGCATACTTTTGGACTATTTAAAATGGAAAGTGTTGAAGATTTGGATTAAATATGAAATACATTGTTTCTACCTAATTGCCTTTCCCTCCTTTTTAAATCACTTTTTTTTTTTCCCAAGTACTGGGTGTGAGCTCAGGGCCTCAGGCTTGCTAGGCAGGCACTCTACTGCTTGAGCCAGCCCTTTCCCTCCTTTTCTAAAAATAAATTTTTCTTTTGGTACTAAAAAATAAGTTTTTCTTTTGGTACTAAAAAATAAGTTTTATATATGTCCTACCATGCTTTTTCTCTATACATTTGAATCTTACAATACTATTTTGGGGGTACTGAAGAGAATTTTCTGCTGATTGGGTATTTGAGGGGAGAGTTTGGGTGTATTTTGTGTATTCCTAGCACCAGCACCAAGGAAAACATCCTGTGAATGTTTGTTGAATTTGGTTTTTGAATGGTAGAAATACAGAGAAAGGGACCATTTTGACTTCTTGGTAGCAAAAAAAAAAAGTGCTTTGAAGTTTCTTCTCTTTACTGCGGTGTTAGGTAGAATTAAACACAGTGCCGGATTCTAATGCAGCTGCTGGTGAGGAAGATTAGAGAGGCTGAAAGGGAGATAGGCTCAGGATAGGAAAACAAGATAGGAGATCGATTGCCCAAATCATTTTCAGATTTGATAATGAAGCACAGTTTTGCCATTAAGCCTGGCTTAATAGGTGACAAGTAACTAAAATATAGGAAGATTCTACAAATACTGGCTTTCTGACAAAACGATTGTTGTAAAATCTTTTAGACACCATAAAAACTTAAGAATCATCTTAACAGAGTTTTACTTATCATAGAAAAGTGCTGATAAGGAGTGAGTGGAGAGTGTAAGTATTTTTATACACAAGATATTTGAACTCAATTTATTAGACCCATAGTAGAATGCTCAGTTTTGTTTTTTAAATATTTTCCCCGTTATAAAGTTAACTGGTGTAAGTTGATATTGGTATGACACTGATAATATTGATAATTATATCCTTGGAAGTAGGGATGGGAGTGAGGAATTAAAGTAACTTGGAGGTGGAAGTTAGTTTCCAGGAGCTATACCTTTTTTCTTGGTTGGGGGAGGACTGGGTTTGAACTCAGGGCTTCACACTTAGAAAGCAGGCATTCCATCGCTTGAGCCAAATGTCCAGCCCCAGGAGCTATATCTTCAATCATCTTCCGCTTCAGAAGAAGTATGTTAGAGACATAAGGAAGGAAGACACAGGGAAAAAGTTGATCCTGTATTGTTTAATGAGTTTCAAGAGAGAAAGGAAGAATAGCCAGGGCCTTTCTAGGGATAAAGGAAAGGAAATATATGATGATTGACATGGAGAGGTGCCAAATCATATAATAGGCATGATAGCATACCTAAGTGAGAGCAGGGAGAGTTTGAGAGCCTATTGTATTCATTTCCTTCAATAATTTCTTCATTCAAAAATACTGAACCCCTTTCTGTGGACTAAGCACCATGCTTGACCCTTGGCATTTTACAAACATCTCTTCAGAGGACAGCTTACTATAGTGGCTCCATGAAGTAAATGGAAAGTTGAAACTGCTTATAAAGACTGGGTAGGGTTACCTAACTACTGCAAGCTATAGGTAAAGCTATTTTCATTCTTCTCCAAATGCATGCAATGGTTGTGGTAGTTTTTAATTCCTAAAACCTGCCTCCTACTGAAATTACCATTTCCTTCTGCTTTTTCATATGGACAGTGACAAATCTTCCTACTTTTAATAGTCCTTAGAGAATCTGTTTGCATTGTTACTATCAAACATAACGTGTAACAAAAATTATCTTTGTTAAAAATAATGATTAAACGTGTGCTTTAACATATATCCCTCTGGTAGGTCTCAGGTTTGTTTGCTGTTTGTTTGAAACAGGGTTTCTCTGTGTAGCCTATGATGGCCTCTAATTTGAGATCCTCCTACCTCAGCCTTAGAGAGCTGGGATTACAGATGAGCACCACTGTGTCTGGCTTTCAGGATTTTCTTCAATGAGATAAAATTATGACACAGTTTTATATTCTATTTAATGTCCAGTGGAACCTTTGGTTTTTTTTTTTTCTTTAATTGGAGTAGAGTATATATGCATATACATAAAATATACATGCCAACTTTGAAAATAAAACAGTAGTTCGTATACTTTTTATAAAGAGTTTAAAAATTAAACATTCCAAATGAGATCATTTACATATAAAAACAGCTTAACAAAGGATGTGTGGGAGGGAGCTAGTCATAGATGAGAGTAGAAAAGTACATATTGTACCACAATTTGAAGGCTACTATACCACATGGTCTTTCAAGACTAAACAATTTTGTAATAGTTGTAAAATTCTGCCTATAATGGACACTAGGAATTAAATTAAAAAATACATGCTATGATGATTATTTTACAAGTATAAGCTACCGGGGAAATCCTTCATCAGCATAATTTAGTGTATTTGGATTTTAACATGTAGGTAGAGTACTTTCATTCTTTTTAGGAATGTATATTAACCATTCCCTTATTCTGTCACTTCATTAAATAGTAATTTAGTTTGGTTATTTTGGGTCAGTGTTTATTTTCATGGTAACTTTCTGACTTTCACTTCAACATTAAGAAAAGAATCTGAAAATTGAGCTGATAATTATACTGCAGAAGATCTAGACCGTATTATTTGTACTGTTGATCTTTGGTGCCTAACCTTACAGAGACTTCCAGAACTTTTAACTAAATTTTACCATTCCACGCTTTCTTTCTGGGTGTCTTTAAGAAACTAAGGTAAAAAGGAGCAGTCAGGTGAAAAGATCATTATGTTGAAGATACCCAGAATTTATAGTGTAATGTGACTTTCTTTTTTTTTTTCTTTGGTACTGCGGTTTGAATTCAGGGCTTCAAGCTTCAGCCCTTTTTGCTCTGGTAATTTTTTTGAGATAGAGTCTTCCTTTATGTCCAGGGCCAGCTGGGACCACATCCTCCTGTTTTAAGATTCCTGCCCCACTGGGATGACAGCCATGTACCACCATGCCCAGCTTTTTTCCATTGAGATGGGGTCGCCTATTGCCCAGGTTGGCCTGGAACCATGGCCCTCCCAATCTCACCTCCCAAGAAACTAGGATCACAGACATAAGCCACCAGTGCCTGGCAAAATGTGAATTTTTTTTTTTCCTGTAGTACTGGGGTTTGAACTCAGAGCTATAGCACTTGAACCACTCTGTCAGCCCTTTTGCATTGGGTATTTTCGAGATAGGATCTCATGAACTATTTGCCTGGGACTGGCTTCAAACCATGATTTTCCTGATCTCTGCTTCCCAAGTTAGGTAGGATTATAGGCGTGAGCCACCAGTGTCCAGCAAAATGTGAATTTTGAAGTAGGAAAATTTAGCTACCTTTCTGGGTTTTTATTGCTTATAACTCAGTGACA